AAACAACTGCCCCTGCCCCAAATACAGTAAAGTGAAACTGGGCATCAGTTTTTTCCTAAGAACCCAATGAATATTTCTAATGCCAAAGTGGTCCCTAATCAAGAAAATGAAGTCAGAGGCCCAGCAGGTGTAAGCTTGAAGTTAGGCATATTTGGTCTAGGCTTGGCACTGGTTTTAGCAGGAAGCATGTTTAACCACATGAACCACTTGCCTGAGAATGCAAATGCTATTCACAGCTCTGAATCTGGATTTTCTTTCTGAAGAGCTGCCTCTATGTGGTGAAATGGGATGGGTGAACCAGAGCAGTGGCCAAGCGCAGCGTCAGGCCAGATGCTTTATGCCCTGGTCTTGTGAGTCTTGAGAGCGTGACATGAGTCCTGAGGTTGTATACGTGGAGGAGAAGACATGCCTGCATGCTAGTATTTTGTCTGCCATGCAAGAGTATTACAGAAGATTGCACAGGGCTGTTCTGAGAGTCTAGAGAGGGGAGGTGAGCACATCTGTGTCCTCTCTATTCTTCCATACTTTAAGCACTATGCTCTCAGTCAAACCCTGCTGTTGTCCAGCATCCCTTTCACAGCCTCCAGTCGTTTGATGCCAGGTCATTTGTTCTCTTCCATGTGCTGAGGTGGCTGGCTGCATTTGGATGCAGGACTCAAATGCTCTGTTGGCAGTCTGGATTTCTTGCTTCAGCTGGGGGAGGGTGAGTGTGGGCCTGACCTTCTTATCTAGCCAAACCTGAACTGTATTGGACATGGAACATGTCCTAAAATTTATTCACTTGTCAGACTTCCACTGACAAAGACGAAACCTCGCTGCTCAGGGACTGCCCCTGTACTGCAGCTGTGTATGGCAAAGCTGGGTCGGGTGGGAGGCTGGCCTGCTGCAATGTGGCTGTGGATATGTAGATCTAAGGGTATTCCTCACCTGCTCACTCCAGGAGGGATTGGGCTTCAGTGTGTGGTGTGGGTCTTTCCCACCCAGTGGCCCTGGTGCTGGCGGCTCCACCCCGACACCTCCACAATTTCTCTATCCCCAGCTGCACCTGCCCCTCTCCTCTCACTCTCTGTGGCCCCCTTTCCTCCAGATGCATTTGAGCACCACCACGTTGCCCAGTTGCTGCGCCGTTTTTCCTCTGACTGTGCCACGAGCCGGAACATCTCCCTGGATGCCACTCTAGCCCATCACCTCCAGCAGTGCTCCTACCACCTGCGCCTCTTCAGGAGCTGGCTGATCTCAGGGCAGGATGACTTGGAGTGTCTTTACGGTACTGCACGCTGCAGCTGCCTTGGTCCCGTGCTCTTGTAGCTGAGCAGGGACCACTGTCTGCTTGAGAATGCAAAGTATGCTTTGCTTCTAAAAAGGAAAGCATTTCCCTCACTGCATCTTTAAATCTCTGGGCTGCTGCTGCAGCAAGCTGTGTGGGCTGTTGCACTCGGCAGTTTTGGAGCCTTAGGCAGTAGCCTTTCCACATGGAGCTGGTGCTCTTTGTGTGGCTGTAACTGTGCTCTTTCCATCTTTGGCAATTGTTTGTTGCCTCCTTCCTTTAGCCACGGTAAGCCCTTAAGCTTCCTTCAGGTTAGGTGCTGAGCTCCTACCGGTGTGATGCGCTACTGACATGATACCCTTGTGCAGGTCTTAGTGGGGTGCTGCGAGGTGTCCCAGTATTAACAGAGGAACCAAAGTGAATAGTAAGAGTATGGGAAGAAAGAAGATTAAGGAGGCGGTGCTGCTGGTCACATGCAGAGTGAACTTGCTGTGGAAATTTTGGGGAAGCGAGTGCTTGTGGGATTGTGTTGTTTCTAGAGAGATCAAGTTAAGATAAGGTAGAAACTGAGCTTCTGTGTGGCTGCATTGCATGGCATCTGTTCTGCCTGTTAGGACCTTTGCAGCGTGTCATGTCTCTGGTGGGAAGAGGCAGGCGATTTCAGTATTGAATCTAGATGTTATAAATCAAAGCTTGCTACTGTTTCTGTGGTATTTGTCAGCCTCTGGCACAGATGGGCCGTCTGATGCATTGAGGTCTCAGTGCTTCTAAGTAGAAGGATTCTTCTCTGAGAGGGGCAACTAGCTAGGGTTAGCTGCTAATGTTTACCTTGCACCATAAAACCTGCTTGGTGCATGTGGCTTGCTGAGCTGTGTGGTGTGATGCATGGACCTCCTTTTTCATTCAGACCCATAGGTGGAAGAGGCAGAGACAGTATAGCTTTTCATGTAGTGAAGCAACAGGATCAAGTGTTTTCAGAGTCTGGAAAAGAGAATTTTCTTATACAGTCTGTTTGTTCTTGATATGGCCCTTTCTGTCATGTAGGCAATTTGCAGATGGCAGTTACTTTTCATGTATAATTAGGACAATCCTTGGTCTCCTAGCAACAAATACTAAAGAGGAGCAAAATTGCTTCAAGGTAAGAGATGCTGGAACACAGCAGATTGCTCCAAAGCCAAAGCTGAGCTTCCCGTGCTGCAGATCACAGCCATCTCCTGTGAGCTCCAGTAGGGA